CAGATTCTAATAAGTTTGGAATATGGTTTATTATATATTGCTTATTATTATATTATGTGAGGTTTAAGGTAACAGACGTATACTGTGGACTGAGGGTATAGAAAAGTTATAAACAGGCTGTTGCTTCCTGGCTGAAAATTAAAGTACTAGGAAGCTGTGTGTCACAAAGCACTTTTCAGGACCCTATGCAGATGATAGAATCCTGAAGGGTAGACGAACAGGGGGGCATGTACATGGTGCACTGGTGCTCAGGTGGGCGTGGCCACGGCAAACAAGTCCAAAGGGAAATCCAGAGTGGGCGAAAGTCCAGAGGCAGGTGATCCATCCATGACAAAGACGACAAAAGTTAAAAGCCGGAGCGGGATCCAGTGAAGGATCTGGGAAATAAAAAGGGGGTAATGGGGCCAGGCACTCCAAGCCCTGGACCCAGATGGTCAGGGCGCCATTGAGAAGCCTTGCCATCGGGCCAAAGCTGAGCCCAGATTGGTAGGAGTGTCTGGTTTTTATAGGAAGGGGCTGGAACAGGAGGCAGGTGCAAAGAATGAATAACAAGAAAAAGCCGGAGCGCCCTTAAGAGGAGGGACTTACGATCATGAAACTATAGGGCTATTGAGGGCCAATTGATAGGTTCACAGGATTGATTGATTGCAGCTGATTTCCATTACGTCTGTGGGCCTGTATATAAAAGGTTACAGAACCTGCCACTCTAGGTCTTTTGTTGGTGAAGTGTACTGGTACTGTGGGAATGTGAATTGTGAAGGTGAGGTTTGTATTCTAAAGGGAACAAACCCTCTGTTAAAGTAAAACATTGCCATGAACTGCATGGGAAGCATGCTGATTGGTTAGGTAGGACTTGTTGAGCATGTTAGGAACTCCAGTGGGAGTTGGGTGCTTATGTTACTTTTATTTTACTACTTTTCAGGCTTGTTTACAGTAGGTAAATAAACTATCATTGTAAATAAATTTATGTTTTAATGTATATTCACAATGAATGATTCAACAGATATCACAATTGGCACAATATATTCTAGTACTGCCTGAACAAACAATGTCATATAGACAAATACAGTACATTCAGATTTTTTGCCCACAGGCAAGATATTACTCCGTTTATCCATGGTGCAGTGGCATATGGATGAGTCCTCCTGGTATAGTATGTCATACTAGTGTCTTTCATTGTCAAAGCAGAATGTTTTGCTCCTTAGTCTTAGGGCAATGATACTGCATACTGTAATACAGAAGTTGAAAGAGTGTGCATTGCATGTACTTATAGGCAACATGCCAGATTTAGCAGAGAGAATACAATTACCAGGTTCCACAAAAGTAGAATTAGCATTTAATGTACTGAAACTAGCTCCCATGGCAATATGAGAGAGAGACTTGTGCTTAAATACAACATTGCTAGGTCAACAATTCTTAAAGGAATGCATTATATGCGTAATTGGGGGCAAGTCAGTCCAGGAGCCCTGAAAACCTGTCATACTGAGACATAAAAACATAAGTGTACAAATTGAGAAGGGCATTTAGTGTAAGTACTTTGTACCTTTATAATAAATATTAACATTGAATTATACAATACAACATAACAAAGCATTTACTGTACATATAAGCTTGTTTTGAAGTCCTGAAATTAATTTCCAAAAAGTGTTCTTCATCTACATCTTGACTTAATCATGTGCCAGTGCACAAACGGATTCTTTTCCTAATAAAATAAAAAAATCCCTACATTTATCTGAAATTGAATCTACTCAGTGGGTTAAAATGTCAGTGATGAACAGGGTTTGTCTAGCAATGACCATTTCAATAAGTCATTAAAAAATGCTGCCTGGGGGGAATTTATTTTAAAAAGGGGTTTGTACTAATATCACAGTGAGAGCTTTAAAGTACTGAAGAAATTCCTTTAGGAATCACAACAAATTGCTAGCCCTAAAATAAGCTCTCTCATACAGTCTTACCTAGAGTAGTGTTTATCTAAACTACTATAAAAGGTCTTTTGATATTAAAACACCATTTACTCATACAAGATAATATTTAATTTAAGTGTTAATTTGAAATATATCTGATATAGTATTTGGTTGTATTAGTATTATGATGTGTTATTCTATTTTTGTTTTCATTCTTCACCCACCAAAAAGCTGGCAGTTACCCAATGGTCATCAATGTAAGCCTTTGACAATACAATTATTAATATACCACAGTGTTTGCTTCTGATAGTTTTTGAAACTCATTGAAATTTGTATGAAGTAAATGAAAAAAAAAACTTTAGGATTAATCAAAAAAAGCACTCTGAAATGATAAATGAAATTTAAATGGAAATTTAATCAGTGAAGGTTAATGTGCGACTTGTTTTAATGCGATTAAAAATCCAACAATAGTCCTATGATTTCAGTCATTCAAATGGACTATAGGAAACGGATTAGGAAACATCAACACAGTGCAGGTTTAATATGAGACAGGTGCTCTAAGTTTTCCACCACATTGAAGAATCATGGAGCTTAAATGTCACTGCCCTCTGTAGTTGTAAAATAAGAAAAAAGAAAAATGAATAAAATAAAGCTGAAATGGAGAGTAAATTGAGTTTGCTGTAAAAAAACTTTCCTTTTCCTTCTAGGTCAGCTCTTCTGTTCAGTGTGCATCCATTTAGAAACGCACACCAGCAGTGACTGTACCCTGTAGTAAAATAGATCCCTAGCTTATAGATATTTTATTAAAAAATACAAATCAGACAGCAGTGCTGGAAATAATTATAGTTTAGACACAGATCCCAGTACCTTTCTGCAAGAAATAAAACAAAAGCACTCTCAGTAAGGGGTTTAATTTAAGGAGCTTAAAATACCCACAGCTAGTATGCATCTTACAGATATCCGAGGTACTAATTGGAATCTGAAAAACTAACAAAAAAAAAGAAAACAGTATCTTCATAAACCTTGCATGTATTACAATTAACAGTAATTGACACACTCTTAATTTTTCACAAATCTCTATTTAGTTGCTGAGCATTTCAATGAGATACATTATTTATATATTTCATAAAATGTATTAACCCTTAGACATCCACTTTTACCTTTATGTTAAATTCCTGTGAAAGTGATGTGTGAACCTGCATCATTAAAACCTCAAGTTTACTATCGACAACCATTTTGTTCTTCTAGGCCATTTGATAATTAGTAGCTAACATAGAATGTCAGCCACGTGTTTCTTGAAAAAAGTCAGGGTATTAGCTTAGATAACATAGCTGGATAGTTTCTCCCACCCTCTCACAACCCCTTGTGTAAAAAAGTGCACTCTGTGCTCAGTGTTAAATGGACTTTGTCGTAGTTCAAACATGTGTCCTCTGGTTCATATTTAACTGTTGATTCGGAAGAAGTGCACAAGGTTGGCTTTGTTCACAACTTTGAGGATTTTGAATTCTTAATTCAGGAATCAAGGGACTAGTCCTCTGAATTGTTTTAAACATAAAAAACTTTTATACATTAAGTGGTATGATGGGCATACAGCAAAGAGGAGATTATTGAGCCCATCTTGATCAAGAGGATGCCATAGCATCATAGATACCAGAACCTATTTATGCTGTTTTGTTCTTTTGAAGGTTACATGGCCACTTTTAGGTTGTTCTATCCACTTACTGTATATATTTTTGTTAAGTAGTGTCTCCTAGGGTATGTCCTGAGTCAGCTTTCACTTCATTGTCATTTTGGTGCAGGAGGAGTCCAGTATGCAAAAAGTAAATTCTTGTCTTTCCAGAGCACTTTACTTCCCAGCTGCAGATAATCTAAAAGGGAGCCAAACAGACATGTAAACTTGGAGTCCATCCATTTTTTCTTTCTATAAAAGGCAAAACACAATGCAAGCTGATGTTGTAGTAAGAACTCCAGATGAGTCTTATGTATATTTATATATTTGGCTACAATATGTGTGGGAAACACTGAAAAATGTCCCATTGTACTTAACATTCACATCCTGGCAAACAGATTAAACTTGTCATAATTGAGGTTTGGACTGCTGTGGGTACTGTAACTCTAATATACTAAATACATTATGACCATGCAGTAAAGGAAATACAAAATTTGAACTATTAAACTTAAGAGATCTACATGTATTTGGTAATATGGAAAGAGCACACATCTTAAACAAACAAAATTCTGAAACATAGCGCACACAGTAAGCAAGGTAATCCTTTTAACCCTTTGCGTGTTATGGTATGTGGAGCTGAAATCACCATCTTCACTTCATTTTATCCATTTTCAGTGTTTTAAACATTCAAATGCCATGCACCCATCCATTTTCTAACTACTTTATCCATTATAGGGTCATGAATATACTCGGTGGTCTGACTATCACTTATGATATTTGGGATGTACAGTATGAAGTTGCATGGCTTATATTTACTTTCTGACTGAGCTGAACACTAATTGCCCTGATGATAAGATAATACACATTGAAAAAAGAGCAGTTACTTTTATGAGTACTAATGAGCTTGAGTCGAACAACAACAAACAGCCTCTATGGCAAAATTGTGGGTTTTTTTTTTCAAAGTGACTTTCTGACCAAGGTGGTTTTAACAGAATTAAACATTTTTTTGAAATTGCATCTGCCCAAATTTAATTAGCATACAAATGAACTAAATGCACATTGAAACATCACAGTGTCCTTATTCTGTTTCCTTTTATTCAGCCTCCTCTAACTTTAATGGGAGAACCTTTGCCTTACATCTAGACTAAAATGCACATTCAGGACAATTGTACTTAATAAATTGTATCTATCAATAATTACTGTGAAATAAGACTGCAGTGAACTGCATATAAGTTCACACAAGGTAATATTTATAATAATGCAGTTTTCTTTGTTTTCAAGACATGTAGCAGAAATGCTAAATGTTAGGTAGCTGCAATTAACTCAGTTAACAATATATGATTGTTGGCATAACTGTCAGAGCATCAACTTAAACAAAATAAATGTTATTCTCACCTTGGTTTTTTCTTTTTTTCTTCCTCCTTCAGAATGAATATTCTTATCCCAGGCCGCTACCAGGAGCTTGGTTTGGAGACATACCCACATTACATTGAGAGGGATGACAGTTTACCAGCAGGGTTGACAGCAATCCAAGATTCACACATACACCTCCAGTATCCCATTACCTTCTGTGCTGGCACTCACCGATATCTGAGCTCTTTGTGGTGAAGGTATGGAAGCCAACAGACTCAAGACTAGAGATTCAAACATGGACCATTTATTTGAGGCTCTGGTCTACCTGCTTGATTGGCAAAAGGTTGTCATGTTGAATTTCCATGCACGTGTTTGAGGATAACCACTCATTAAAGAACAAAAGACTATTTACACAATGGCAGCTCAAAAAATTTAATCTCAATTCTAGTATCCTCCATTCATGCAGACGCATGTTCTCTGGTTTCCCATGACTGCTGAAGTACAATAAATCCTTGGTTTTAGCTCAAGTTGGTGTGAACTACCTATTTTTTCCTTGCGTTCCAGGTGTCACGCCTAAGGACTCAGGAAAGCCATGAAAATTCCAAGTCCTCTTTCACCTGGTGCTTACTAAATGAACCATGAGCACTGGTCACAGGAATCCCAACACAGGAGGTGATAGGATGTTGAGATTTTGCAGCAGCTGTCACAAGAAATGCAAAGCATGCAGTGGATCTCAATTTAAATAATTATACAAGATACAGGATGAATCACCTAGATGTAGTTCATCATTTGGTTTAAGTGCATTAAATATTTTCCAGTCCAGGAGGAAGTTCCAAGTACATCATGCTATACCTACAGTTGTATGCTGAACCTACAGTGATTTGCTGAAAGGCCTTGGACGTGTAGACATCCTTCACTGAGAGATTCCAACTTGCAGCAGAAGACAGGGAAGACAAAGATGATTTAATTTCACCTCTAAATGATTCATTAGCAAGATCACCACAATGCAAGGAATCACAGTGACTCCAAAAAGTGACAACCCACTAAGGAACTGATGGTTGTGGTTTTGTCTCATCGCCAAATGCCAACCACCTTCCTTATGCTTATCTTTGCATTCACATATTAGAATTTGTTCTGCAGATCTCTATGGATTCCTACTGCCCTGATTAGGATGACAGACCGATGGCACCGGAGGAGTAGAATATCAGAACTGTTTTTTTTCTGTATCCAATAAAGCATTTTGCAACTGGCATTGAAGATATCACATATGGATAAAAAAATGTCAATATCAGACGAGTATTTGGTTATACTTAATCATATTTTACATTTTAGGCACAGAAAAGCTAAGATGCAAATTGGGGAAGGTTACTGCTGCTTTAATGTAATCCTCAGTTTAACAGCCATGCAGAAACATTAACTAGCCAGGGATAAGGCTACTTTCATCAGAGATTTTATATTTTTATAAGGTTCTCAGAATTTATGAAAATGTGGTTGAGTCAGAGGGGCTTAAGTGCATGAACAGACCATGTGCAAAAGAAAGAGATTATATTTGGCACCTTATCCAGCTTTTTGTTGAGCTTGTACAATATTCACATGCACCAATGTGTGTGGTGTTGTTTTGTGTTGTGCACTAACGTCAAACTGTAATGTTGGGATTATTATAGGATGGAAGACCACACTCACCTCTTGATCTTCTCTGCAAATGATTTTCAATGGATCTCAAGCCCTGGAAAGCTCTACATTTAAAAGAAGCAATCTGTTTTACCATCCTTCCATTTTTCTGTAAGTGAAGTCAGAAAGTGCCTCATCCTGAGGTGGTATTCTCACTTACATAATTTCATAAACGTATTGTGAGCTACAAGCTTGCTCATAAATATTGCTTTCAATACTAAGAACGTTAAACAGTAATGACCGTTTTTCATACTGCTAATCAAGTTGTGGATATTTTTTAATAAAATGTATCAATGGTTATGAAAACAGTTGTGTTTGTAGAACAAAAAATCTAAAAAGCAATGGAAGCAAATACAAAATGATTTTTTAAAATATGTATTGATAATTTATTGTTTTTTATAAGGTATTCTTCCAGAATGAAAACTTTCTGAAGCATGATTACATTTTCTCACTTTATCCCACCATTCTTTTCAGAAACAATGAGGGATATATCCAAATAATGCATAACATGAGCTGTCTCACTTCACAAATCAATGAGTACTACATACAAAATTTAAAATAATATATGAATTACATATTGTATAATTAAATTACAGCAATAAACATCTATTAATCCAGGACCTTCATTTTTATATTTTTAGGTAATTTAATACTATATTATTTTTTTATCTGGAGGCCACATTCAGTCCATCTAATAATTACAAATTACAAACCCTGCGCCTGATGGTTGGTTTTGTGTTCTAGAGATTTCTTGATTCTGCCCAGAAATGACTCCTTTTTAGTTCAATTAGTTCTGTAACACATTAAATTCATGGTGTATTAACACATAGCCCGTTGTTACAACTCTCATGCCTCCCCAGAAGAAATGTAGATAACCTACAGTATATGCATCTTCCAGTGTGCAACAATAGCACAAACTGATGACCTCAAGCAGATGGAACACTGACAAAGCTCTCTCTATTAACACTGCAGTCAACCTTCAGTCACAAGGAGAGCCTTGCCAGCTTCAGTCTCAGCTCAACTAATTTTGTTCTCCTGTGGAATGCCAGTCACAGTCAGCTAATGTTACAGCCCAGCTACAACTTGTGATCTGTAGTCCATAGAACATGATTTATATTCAGAGTAAAGGCCTTTTGCAATATTGGCATGTGGAACAAGCATCATTTGAATTAATAATGCACCTGTTTGCTTCAGATTCCTCTACAGAAAATGGTGATGTGTCTGTTCTTTCCATATGCATTATTTAAAAGGAAGTGGTATTAAAATATTTTTGCTTAACATGCTTAAAGGCAGGATGGAAGATCTATAATTCAAATATAGTGGGTAAGTCCCACAGCAGAGCCCACAGACCCACTCAACAGAGTGTTCTATGTTAGTTGTTCACCATAACAGTCACCTATGCAGAGCTTTCCTAAGTATTTTGGTAGTTTGGCAAATATCAAGCAGGGAAGAACTTGAAAAGGCCAGGTAACATGAAACTTCTCTGAAATATATGACTGAGACTGAAATTGATTTGTGCTGAACAAAAGGCTGCCAGGCTTCTGACTTTGTTTATGTTCTCCCCAAACATGTCAATAGTAAGGTACAAAAAGTGAACTCTTGGGTTTTGATTTCCATTGGCAAACATATTAATCCTAGTAAAGGTTAGGGATGTGCAAATTGTGTATATATATATATTTCTGAGGATGCAAGGAAAGCTAGTCTGGAATATGAAGTAGTGATTAGATCAGCGACAGTGTAACGGGAAGGTTGTGGATTCAAATTCTGGGTGTGGGACTGCTGTTCTGTGCATGGTAATTTACTCATGTTGCTTAATGAAAATACACAACTATTTATAAATATATGGGTACAAAATGTAAGACACGGGTACAAAATGTAAAACACATTGGGTACATATCAGCCAAATAAATGGATAATTATTGAATTGCGTTGCAGTTCATATACTGTATATGTTTCATTACAGAATTATATGAAATTCATAATGGTGGCAGATAATTTAACATTTCAAGGATCCTATCTAAAGGATTACACTGCAAAACACTAGAATCATTGTGGTACCAGTAAGACTGAAACCATCAAGATGTTATAGTCCTGATCTCAAGTGTTAGATTATGCCTCATGCAGATTGTCCAATTTATGGAATCATCTTTGTGATGGAATGGGAATATTAAACTCGACTTCAATTTAAATGTATTGTTAGCTCATGTAGTGATTTCTTCTCATTCCTCTCTGTTGGAAGATGAACATTTTGTTTGCAACCCATTTCTTCTTATCTTGCAGATTTCCATCCAAGTGGTGAGACTGTTTTCTGCAGAGTAGCAATGTAAACCAAACATACAGTGAACTCAATTATCCTTCGTCAGTACAAATACAACAAAAAATAATGCTTCCTTTATTCTGGAGAGGCTGGTGAGATTTTAAATGTGCAGAATTTGACACTGAAAATTGATACGACCAATAAGCATATTGGATTATAAGAGGTGTTTTTGTTTTTTATTTGAAAAGTTAAAATGACATATACAAGCATGTATGGCATATACAAGGAATTGCGAGCGGTATCAAATTGTCGTCATAATAACAGTCTCGTCCAATTAATAAAATAGTAGCAGCCCCAACAGGCAAGGCTAAACCCCATATGCTTTTTTTTCTGTTGAAATTCCTCCTGACTTTTTGTCTCACTTCAATTTATAGCAAATCAGTTTTGTATTTCTTATTATCTCCAGGCAGGATTAGAGATTACAGCATTTTAGATGCAGAAGTGGTGTTCATTAAAGGACTAAAGCTACGTATGGTACAACACAAATTACTCAGCATCAGAACACCTGCGGTTGACAAAGTTGACAAATGGGAATGGCATGGAAGGTCGGCATGGACCGTATCTGTCTTGTCAGCAGAGCACCGCGAGGGCAGCCTTGATGTGGAGGGACTCGGCTCTTCATGGACTTGCTGTCTCTGCAAGTCTCATCAGAAGAGGCTTGGCAAGGATGAGAACATCCTCCAAGGCTATTAGAGCCTAATGTGGTGTTGAAAGTGACAGGATCACTAAAGGGCCAGAACACTGAGAGAGAGAGAACAAAGGGAGAGAGAGAGTACTGCTGAGGAGCAAAGACAGAAAATGAGGATAGTTTGTAAATGCTGAAAGGATCTCAGAGGAAGTTTGTATGCCATTACAATACATTAGATTCTTCAACTGCTTAGTAACAGAAAAAAACAAGGGTTTTTTGGCTTAAGTGAGTCTTAAATTCAGATTGTTTTTATCTAGCTCACTGGGTATCTAGATCCTTCACAAACAAACTCACCTTCACAAAGCTGTTTGGAAAACCTGTATCTTCACATCCTTCTGGGAGATTCTCAAACTGCTTGTGATGTTGATGGCAAAACAACAAACACGGTAATGACTGCAATCAGAGGTCAGGTAATGGCAACTCTTCTTGGAAAGATCATTCATTGAAGTACGTCAGCTTCAACAGGTTCTTGTATCAACTGAATTTTACTTGAACCATTTAAGCATTGTCATTCTTTAAAGGACTTAGATGATAACTACAAATATTACTGCGAAGGATATTGGGATAAATTTGTCTTTTGCATCAAGACTTCTTTTGCTGGGTTGGTTGCAAAGTCAAAGTTCAGAGTAAAGCAAGTTAAGGTTGTTATTCACCATAGTCTAAACCCTTAATGGATGGCAGTGAGGGTGTAATATTGGGATTGGCGAAACTAAAGGAATCAGGCAAAGCAATCTACTTTGTCAAAACATTGCACATACTGTAGAATGACATTTTGTCCGCAATATCTGGGCCACGCTCCAAATGCCTCTGTCCGAAATTTTTACACTAATTAAGTTTTTTCCCCTGCCGGCAATCATCTGACTAGAAACTAACACGCAATAAGGGGCATTGGGTACAGTTTAAATTCTGTCTATTTTGATAAAAAAGGAATGCAAATAAATTCATGTTCATGGATGAATAAAACATTATGTCAATCTCCTCACCAGCCCCCACCACCCACTTTTCCACCCCCATGAAAATCCAAAGGGAAAGCTGACAAAAGCTTTTCGATCAACATGCTGTAATTGGGCGGCTGTGATTAAATTCATTTCATGGAGATATGGGTGTTTATCTACTGTGACCAGAATCGTTCTATCTAATAATCATCTTCTGGTGTGGGCTGTGTTTTGGCCACAATCCAACTACCCTGGCATTTACAGCTCAGCCATGAGACTTTTCCAAAGCTGTTGCTGAACACATGCAACATGTAATCAGCAAAATTAGGCAGGCACATTGCATTACCAGCAGCTATTTAAAATTCTATACAGCCTGTTTGATCTGTCTGCACAGAAAGAAGAAAGTAACAGATGAAACTTTTTATTACTGCATTATTTTGAACACATTCATGATTCTGTAGATATGTGAACATACTGTATAGTACTGATGAGGCGGAAAAGTGATATACATTTTTTAAGATAAGGTAAGTAAGGTAACAAGCTTGTAACATCTAGCAAGTAGTGAGCACCTTTTTATAATACTGTGCAGCTTGTAAAAGTTAAAAGAAACTATTGTGGAACGTTTTAACTGCTCTTTTCCTCTCCAGCGCAAATGGTCAGATTAAATTTCATCTTAATCATCCACAATTATGGATGCTGCAATTTTGAGTGCTGCAGAGATGTACTGTAAATGATTTGTGGACTCCTTTTGGAAACGCCAATCTTTGTTTCCAAGTAATCTCCCTCCAGTTAGTGCATTTAGATCATATGCCAATATTTCTCAAGCTTTTTCATCTCATGGAATGCTTACAAAAATCTAAACATTTGGAGACATCCTCATACATTACACTGGCCTAAGAGCATTGGTATTACATTATAAACAAAATGTATTTTGTAGTTCTTAAACTGTGTTTGTTTCAAAGTGCATATAATAGTTGCCGTATCCTAGCAGGGACAGAAGACAGTGAAATATGGATCTCTTGCTCAGCCGCTCTAAAACATTCTCTATTACTGTATTTTTATGTGATCAAACTTGAAAAACTTAACTTCACATCATAGGCAATTCCCGCATGAACAGTCTTAGAGTGTTGCCTCTGTCTCCTGTGTATACAGCAAATGTGCAACACAACCCTTAGGTTACTCCACAAGTTTACTCTATGTGTGAAGTGTAATGTGATGCATCCCAAAACTTAGAACTCAGTTTCAGATTTCAGCCTTGGTGGCAGTCAGAAAGTCACCATGTTTGAAGTCTACATTCCAAACAATTCCACTGCCGGATTTCTGCATAACTAGTGCTCAATCATAACTAAGGGTGACCGTACCCGAATCCACCTCTTTTTTATTTTAGTATCCTTATCTTAGCAATTCCCTCTGTACAGTTCACTTCACTTTTGGTCTACAGAAACAATAGGAGAAGAGCCAAATTGCTATTTTTTTTTTAGTTTAGTAGCTACAGTAAGTTAATGGAAAATTGAACCTAGCTGGTTCTTAAAAAACTACAGCTTGGGTCTCAATAACTTGGCTGAGAAGCCTGTTCAGGATGTGATCAACTTTTGATGTCCTCTGGTTAGACTCTTTCTACAGTATAATCATAAGGATTTTATATACTTACAGTGTAGATCAAATCTTGTCTCAAACTCCTTTATTCTGCAGTATACCAAATAGATTTATAACTCTTAAACTATCTGTTTCTGTAATAATTCCCTGAAACCAAAAGTCATTCTCGCTGCTCTCCTTTGAACTCTTTCTAAGGCTATAATATCCTTTCTGTATTGTGGTGACGAAGCTAAAACAATATTGTAAATAAGGCTGAGCTAGTGCATTATAAAGCTTAAAAATAATTTCCCTGGATTCAAATGTCATACTTTGTGCTATACATCAAGCAAGCATTGCTTGCTTGAGAATATAAGTTTTATGAGGAAGGACAATATTAAAAATCTTTCTGAAAATTTAAATTTAATGACAGGCATTAAAATGCAACAGATCATTATTGGAGCCTACAGCATTTACTGTATTTTTAATGATTGTTGGTATATTACATGCCATATGCTTCAGTGTTATCTAATGCCTTTGAAAATTCTAGCATTTATCACCTTCGCTACACACTTGTCTGATCTCATCAGTAAGTTACTTGGTCCCACGTTGGTCTTTAGTGGACTACGCCATCCACCTATTGCTAAGTACTTACTATAGAACTTTTATTTTCGATTTAAACCATTATTTACCGTAATCCTTATCCTTCTTTCCTTCGTTCTGTAACTTGCAGTTTGTTTTTGATAAAATGCACTGTACCATACCACTACCGATTCATATTGTGCCGTGCTTTCCAGATCAAACTTTATATCCATCTGCATCATTCTTCCAAGCCATATTTTAGCTACCCTTAAGTTATAGTTCTATGTTAATGTGGTAACTTTGACTTCCATCCATGAATTTTCTAACTATCCAATTCAAGGTTACAGGAGAGCTGAAGCCTATCCCACAAAGCAACAGGATACAGTCTGGACTGGATGCAAGACCATTGTTGTGTAGACACAAGGACAAAAACATGTACACACCAGGGCCAATTTTCCCAGATCCAGTTACCCTATCAGTATGTCTTTGGGATGTAGGAGGAAACAAGTGCACCCAGAGGAAACTCACATGAACCTGTGGAGGACATAGAAACTACCCCATGCAGATATTGTCATAGGAATTGAATCCTGGGCCCCAACACTCCTCCCAGCATTGACTTCTCATAGATTTTATTCTTTACACTTCTAGATATCTGTTGAGTTACAGTATAAGCATTTAAAAATGTAAGAGGTTTTTTTTAGTTATGCCATGGGTTCTCCTGATTCCAGTGCTCACTGCCTTCTGGTTTCCTGGATTAAATTGTTACGGATTCGGTAAGAGAAACCGGAACCAGTGAATGAACCCACTTGCAGGAGCTGACAAAGCCTAGC